ATTAAAATCATTTCAATAATGAGTCCATCTTTCCATCTTTAGGTAGCACAACATCTTTCATTGAAGAAGGTTCGACAAGTCTTATGTTAAACTTACTGACAAAGTTTGTTATACTATAATGCTTCGGCGGCGAATACATATAGTTTGAAAGACATAATATAGATTCTTCAGCAAATTCACTTATACTGGATTTTATAACAATGTTCTCACGAGACCAAATACCACCAATTGACAATCTTGTAAGCAATCCTGCTGAACCTTCTACTGTAAACGTCGATGGTAACATTCCACGAAGGTCATCTATTGACATCGTTGAGTCACTGAATTTAAATATTTTCTTAAAGCAATCGTCATTATCTAACCATGCAATAGCTTTGAAGTTTTCATTCGAATATACATCTGCTTCATTAAATGTAAAACCTGACTTCTTTGCAGAGACGACTTTAAAATCTATTGAGTTTGTTTCAAAATTATATGCTATGGTAACTTCTGAAGGTAATGGATGTCCTTCCGCAGTCAGTTGTTCTCTCACTACCGTTTGAAGCTTTGTATTAAAAACTTTCATGTCATCTCCTGTGTCTAGTTCACATACACAGCAACAGGAAAACTATCTTGCTTCTTTGTTTCATCATTATACCTCAAAACATTAAAGTTCTTCAATAATATTGTTCTTCCTGCTGGAATACTTCGAACCTGTCTGATTTCAATAGCTTTCTCACCTCCTACATACTCTACCCAGTGTCTTGGATATTCATAAGTATACTGACTTTCTTGAATTTTGGTTGGTTTCATCATAACATGTTCATAGTATATCTTTATACTCTTGTCAGTTAGACTCGGTGCTATGTTCTGAATATTTCTGACTTGCATTTTTAATGGAGATAAAATGAAGCATTTAATACATGACGTAGATGAAGACATGAATGAAACTACAGACAAACTTAACTCTTCTCTTATTCTTCCTTTCAGCAAGATTATGAGTTCTGTTCAAATGGTGTTATTTCTATTGTGGAAAGATGGGTTCAGGTAAGACATTTAACCTCATTCGTCATATACTCATAACAGAACGTTTAGGAAATGACTCATATTATGACCAAATCATTATATCAGCAACTTCAGACTCTATGGACTCAACAGCGAAAACATTTATGTCAAAAGTTCAAGCCTCTGTCGTTAAAGTTCCAGACAGTGAACTCATTGAATTTCTTCAACGTTACATTCGACGTAAGAGGAAATATTATGCCATCGTTGAATTTATACAGTCAGGAATGCAAAAGACTTCTGAGGAGATGGAAAGAATTATTGACAAACACCACTTACGTCATACTCAGGAGTTTACGATATGAAACGACTGACAAACTACATTCTATCAAAACTTTCAAAATACCCCTTCAAAAAATATCCTTCAAACACTCTTCGTTTGTGACGACTTCGCCGGAAAAGGTTTAGTTCAAAACCAGACTCACCATTAGCTAACATCATTACTAAAGTCAGACATTACCACTTAACTGTAGCAATACTTATGCAAACATGGAGGTTTTTAGCTTTAAACATAAAACGTCTCATAACTGACTTCGTTATCTTTCAAGGTTTCTCACGCTATGATATTGAACTCATTTGGAAACAGTCAGGTATAACATTACCTTTTGAAGAAATTTGGGAAGCATATAAGTCTCTCATCTCTCCTCGTTCATACCTTGAGATTCATATCATGACTAATACCATTAAAGTCAAAAATATTCCATGGGAACGACCAACATTGTTTTAAAGTTTAACCTTCAATTGACTGATGGTAAACAAATTCCATGCATCTCTGTCGCCATTTCTGTTAATATTTTTGCTGTCATTCATATCATCCACTTCCCCATCCGTTAGCTTTTGAGGATATGCGTTAGAATAGCTGTTCTTAAATGAAGGCTTTTCACCTTTGAGAGCATAAACTCTATAACTTTCTGCATACTTTATGTTTGAACCTCCTGAGCCATCATTGACATAAATTTTTATAGGCTTCCACCCTTTGTTCATGTTCCTGCTTCTTCCCTTAGCTCTTTTGTTCAGTAGTTCTACATCTTTATACACAGCACCTGTCTCAGTGAATTCAACAATATTTTCATTCGTTAGCTTTACATTCAAACCCTTGTCGAGTATATTGTTCATTTCATACATATAAAAGGTTTTTATTCTATATGAAATGAGAAGCAAATCCATCTTAGCTGGTGCCGTTAATGTTCCAATTGAACCAACATCAAATGTTGACTCACGAACGACAAACAATATTGTCATAAAGAACTATAGTTCAGAGTGTTTGAAAGAAAGAACCAGAGCTGAAATCCGTGAATTTAAACTCAGCTTCAAACGCTAACGCTACATCAGATGTTAAGTTAGAGTATCCACCACTGGACCAAATTCTTTCAAGAGAAGCCAACGACAACCCTTACACAAATGTTCAAACAAATCCTTCAGATAACGTAGACCATTACCTTCTTCAGTTATACCAAACAATTTTACTCAAAGACGATAAGAAGCTTTTGACAAATCTTATAAGCAAGAACCAAATAATTCTAACAAAGGAGGACCTTGAAAATGTTATCTCACGAATAACAGGGAAACAATGTGTCATTGACTATCTCGACCCTGAAATCGAATGCTGTGGTCAAACTCCACTATTCATGAAAATAGGTAACATCCGCATCATTGAAACACCAGGAACTACAGGAGTTGAGTTTAAGTATAAATATTCGAACGAGTATACAAAACTTTCAACAGAATATAAACTTTGTTTGAAATATGTTTTAGTAAATTAAAGCAGTCAGTCAAAAAATTTCAAGTTAGCAATTTGTATCTATCCAAAACTTCTTCAACAGTATCGAACTCATCTTCATAATGCAAACCTAATCTTATTGACTTTGGTGCAGTTTTCACTAACACAATATTTTTCTGTTCTCTTGACTGACATAACTAACTCATTTGTTTCATCAAACAGCAACAACCAAAGTTCATGACCTAATACATAACATTCATACTTTATATTTTTAGCTCTGAGTTCTCTTGTAAGCTGTTGCATTTAATATTTTCTAAAAAGTCAACTTCAACAGTCATTCGCACTGGTGCCTTCAGTTCTACAGGCTCTCCTTGAAAGTCAACAAGTCTGAATTGCATGTCTTTCAAATTATGAGGACTAATGCGAACCCATTTACCTAAATGAGTTGCTATGACAGGAACGTTTGGAATGAACATTGAATTGACTGCATAACAGAAGGATTTATATTCTACTGAACCTTTACTATTAACTCCTGAAATGCCTGTGACATTAGCTATTTTAGACTCAATGTATAAAAACAATTACCATAACATACGTATGGAACAGATTTCATCTCAATCGTTTTGTCAACACTTTTCAAAGGAAATGTCATATGGTATGCACCCAAAAGAAGTTGTACTCTATGACTCATTCGTGTTATCTTAAACTCCTTCGCATAACTGAACTTCAAAACTCCTGCAATAAGTTTAACATTCATTAAGTTTTCTTCGTTATCCTTGTTTATTGTAGTATTTATGAGAGCATTTAACACTCCAGCTAATGTTTCCATCTTATATTCTACATTATTGTGAAATCTTATTTCGTGCTTCTTTCCATCTATTTCAATCTCCATGAAATCTGTTTCATCTGTTATAACGAAAAGCGATAGTATTGAAGTCAACCATTCTGAATGCAAGCGCCTCATTCTGTAGACCTAAGTTTGTTTGTAGCTTTACTGTCCCGTATTCGTTTGGGTCTGTACTTTGCAAATAGAACAACATTTTATTCTCATTAAAATATGAGTATAGCTGCATATGCGTATGAAGCTGACAGAGCTAAACGTTTATATTTTGGTCAATACTCTCTCACACTTACTGACAAATATATTGTTATTTCTGATGGAAATACTGAGAAATATATAACATGGAAGGACTATGAAAAGTTTGACCCTATTTTAACTCCATGTACTATGCCATTCATTGTAAATGGTGAAATCGTCATGAAGAACGACACAACTGTTTATAGGTCTGTATATGAAGCTCTTGAAAGCATTCTTAACTTCAATCCTTCAGGGTTCGATACAAAAACAACTCCTTCGACAATGCCATTCATTGTAAATGGTGAAATTGTGTCAAAAAATAATGAAACAGTGTATAAGTCAGTGTATGAGGCGCTGAACTATATGCTTCATTTCAATCCTTCTGGTTTTGACCCACAAATAACTTCATGTACTATGCCATTCATTGTAAATGGTGAAATCGTCATGAAGAACGACACAACTGTCTCAAAGTCTGTTCGTGATATTTTAGACTACTTGCTTCATTTGGGTCCTACAGGATTTGACCCATATACAACTCAATGTCAAGTACCATTCATAAACGACTCAGCAGAAATAAAACTCAAAACGTCAACAGTAGATGAAGCAATTGCTGACTCATTGACAAAACTTCTTGATATAATAATGAGGTTCAATACATTCAAAACAACATATGAAACCTTTAAGAAAAATTATGACGATTTCTTTAAAATTACATACATCGAGCCTTCTGCTCCTCAAACACCAGACTATGCATGCCTTAAAATAAAGGCTGCACGGACACAAGTTAGAACATTGACTTTTGACGGAGATAATATCGTTAGAGACGTTACACCTGGAGACACATTACTTACGAAAGAATACTTAAAAAGTCATATCAGTGATTTTGTGAAAGTAGAACAAAGTGGAGCAGGTAAGAGTTGGTTAGGGTGGTTGTTTACTTTATTTTCATCAGGTGTAACAACTGCATCTCTTATAACCATGCAAAGTGAGATAGATGCACTCTGGGCTTTTCTTGGTGGCATAGATAGCATGAAGTTTTATGTTGAGTTTGCTAAATTACATGGAAATACAGGAAGTTTCTTTGACGGTCTCAAAAATTTATGGGGTAAAGTAACATATAATACAAAGAAACTAACTAACTGGGCACTCAAACGTAAAAATATGTTCGACGGACTTGCTTACAACCCTCGTCTCGGAATTATTGAACCAATTAATTTACATCCTTTAATGGCAGCAAGAGATTTAGATGAAGGAGGACAGGTGGTTCAAACAATTGTTGAAAATCTACTGAATATATATCCTGAGTTTAAAGAAGTTTTAACAGCAACAAACACAACAATTCGTGAAAACTGTATAGTGTTTAACACTGAAGATAATATTTTAGACTATATGTTCGTTGTTTTAGGTCAGTTAGCTAAGACAATAAAAGAGAAAGGTATTGACTCAGTCATAACAGTTGAAGATGTAATGTTAAGAAAGACTTTTGACTCATTGTTTCAAGAACCAAAAGAAGTAGTTAGTCTTTATGAAGTTTTGAACGCAATGCTGACAAAAATAAATGAAAGTGACACTGGTAACATAAGTGAAGCAAAAGTTGTTGAACTTCTTTCACAAAAAGCAGATAAAAACCACGTTCATTATATAACTTCAGACGAACAGATTATAACGGACTACCATGGATATTTAACACAGGATGAACAAATAAGCACTGAAGATGTTAATGAAAGAAGATATAAATACATTCGTGCTAAAGGTTATGACATAAGCTGTACTGTACATTATGACACGGGTAAAGCGCTAGAAGCATTTAGTTATAACGATGAAATTTATGCCTCTACTTTCTCTGTTAAAGGTGTATTAGTTGAACCAAGATTTACTTTGAGAGTTAAGTCAAAAATAACGTTTGAAGATGCTATTAAAAGTAAAGCTGACAAAGTTGAACTCGAAGCAATGAACAAAGTTTTGAAATCTCATAAACACAACATCTCCGATATAAATGAACTTCAAGCTACATTAGACAGTAAAGCCGACAAGAATCATACACATGAATCCTTCACTACTGTTAGAGCAGACGACATAATATTGAACTATACCCTTGGTTCAAGTGCACCTTTAGAGAATTCAAGTACAAGCGTAAAAGATACACTAAACTCCTTAAATAGTAAATGTATGAACATTGAAGGTCATGCCAGAAACTTTGAAACACATGAACTACCAGCAATGTTAGATAAGAAAGCTGACAAAGAACATACACATAAATCCTTCACTACTGTTAGAGCAGACGACATAATATTGAACTATGATTTGGGTTCAAGTGCACCTTTAGAGAATCCGAGTACAAGCGTAAAAGATACTCTTAACAATTTAGATAACAGTTGCAGGAATATCGAAGGTCATGCCAGAAACTTTGAAACACATGAACTACCAGCAATGTTAGATAAGAAAGCCGACAAAACTTATGTAGATGAAAATTATGCAAAGAAGTCGGAAGTAAATGCTGCGCTTAATGGAAAAGCCGACAAGAACCATACACATGAAGAATTTCAAACAATCAAGATTAAAGAAATTAAGGTATGCATCGAAATAGTAACAAAAACAGGAAGAAACGGTGCAACTGTACATGAACAAAGAATTAATCCTCCTACTTTTCCTAATGGTTTAATAACAAACAATATAAATATTGTAGATGGCAAAGGATTTATAAATGTTAAACATGAACTTCAAACAATAAAGGCTCAGATTCTTCAAACATTATATCCTATAGGCTCTATTTATACGTCAATGAATTCAACAAATCCAGCAAGTGTTTTAGGTTTTGGTACATGGCAGCAGATTGTAGACAAATTCTTATACTGTGCTAACTCTTCAAAGCAAACAGGAGGTTCGAAGAAAATTACTGAAGCAAACCTTCCACCGCACACTCATACAGGAACTACAAACTTTTCTGGCGACCATAGCCACTCATTAAGAGACCACCCATTATACAACTCAGAGTATGAAGCTGGCAATGACGTTTTATCTCCATCTTATAACAATGCAGCAAAAAAGATTTTTCGACAAACCGAACCGGGAGGAAATCATGTCCATACTTTCACAACAAATCCAACAGGCTCGGGTGCAGATTATATGCCACCATTTGTGACTATATTCGCATGGTACCGCGTTCAATGAACGCGCTTGAGCCTAGAATAAAATCTTTAACTTTACATAAATGAGCTTGAAAGAAGTATTCGAACAACATCCATGGAGGTCATTTAAGAAGTTCAATGAAGCTGCAAAGAGTTGGGGATTTACTAACAGAGCTGAAGTGAAAAGGTTCTTTGACAAAAATGTTGTACATCAAACAAAAATAAACCCTTACGACTACTTTTTACCAATTTACTCCAACACTCCTGACGCATACCAATTTGACACTCTCATTCAAAGCAGAAAAGGAGGACATAAACCATTCCTCATCTTCATTAATGTTAACACTCGTAAAGCTTTTGCGTATATAATGAAAAATAAAGGAACTCGTGAAGTGTTAAGAGTTTTACAAAAGTTTGTAGCAGAACATAGCCCAAGTACTTTAACATCAGACCAAGACAGTGCATACCTCAGCAATGAAATCACAGATTTTCTCATTAAGCATAACATAACTCACTACACTACTGAAGACCATAACCATAACATACTCGGCATCATAAACCGCTTCATAAGAACGCTCAGAGATTTAAACCAAGAGCGAGACTTTACCGAAGAAACAATGAAACATTTCATCGAAGTTTACAATTCCTCAACACATTCTACAACAGGGCATACACCAAATTCAATGACACAACAACAAGAAGAAAAGTATATACAAAAGAAACGAAGCCAAACACAAAATATCAGAAATTCAACACAATTTACCCTCATTCCTGGTACAAAAGTTCGTGTAGTTCTTGACGACAAACCGTTGACAAAGAAACGTTTAAGGTTAAGTAGAAACTATTATATCGTAGACTCTACGCAAGGTAATGGATATCTTATAAAAGCTGCTGACGACTCTATTGCGTTTTACCCTCGTCACAAATTAGTCGAAAGTAGTAATGGCAAACTTGCTGAAACCATTGACGAAGCAAAGCGAGGAGTGGTTATTGAAATACTTGGCTACAACATAAACGATGACACTTATAAAGTAAGATATGAAGGAGGCGTTGAAGATGTTATACCATCTAAGAACTTGAGAGAGTCAAAGCCAACACATCTGGGACCATTAGAGCGGGAGTACTGGAAAGACAAAAATAAGCCAGAAAGAATAAGAAAATTCTTCTAAACTTTTTCATTAGATGTAAATCAGACATGAATGAGAACAGTCATGTATTATTAATGGTACCATTTATTTTTGTCATAAATTTACACCAAAAATATATTTTAGGTGAAGAGGTGAGATCTCACCCGTTTTCTCACCTGTTTTCTCACCCTCACGAATTTTCATGAATTTCCTTAAGATAGAAAAATAAAGTTAGTTTTAAAATTATTTATTTTTTTATTTTGTATAAAAGATATGATTTCAACAATCGGCACAACAACAATTCAAACAACTACAGCACCAAACTCGCTAGTCATGAATCCTACGTCAATGTTGGTAGAGATGAAAAGCTTTATTCCTTCTTCATATACTTTTGAAACAGAAATCCAGAAGATAAAGCAAGAACTTTTAACAAGTAATTTAGACTGTAGTGCGAAAGATGAAACAAATGAACAGTATCTTTATGAAATGGAGGACCTCATCGACCATTTGCCTAAACTACCTGAAATTCAGCAGCAAAAACTAACTATTCCTGAATTCGACGAAATTGAAGTCAAAGCAACTGACTCAGTAGAAATTAAGAAATTCATACGTAAAGTAAATTATGAATTCCTTGGTTTTCATTGCAACCATAAAGTTATGGACAAAGATTGCGACATGGTTTATAAAAATATTTCTGACCTTTACAAATCCGAAGAATTTAAGACATACGATAACTTTGTTTCATTAGTTGCAAAATGTGTATGGCAGATAAGAGATAAAGATAGAAGAGGTAAAGTATGGAATGAACAGATAAAACCAGCAGCTTTTGAGTTAAAGAAAACCATTGACGCCTTAGTTGTTCTAGCTGGTTTTATTTCAATGTATAACGCAAAAACGATGCCGCAATGTTCAAAATGTAAAGCAGCAATAAGAAAATATAACTACTCAGTCAAAGAGATAGAAAGAATGCGAAACGACTATGCAGACTTAAAGAAAGAAGCAGAGAAGCCGGTAGAAAATAAAATGGACATGTTAGAATTTCTGAACAAAAACTATCCAACTGCTGACGATTTCCTTTTATCTGACGTCAAGAAGAAGTATAAAGAAACTTTCGGTATCGTTAAAACATTCGATGTACTAAAAGAAGAAATAGAAGCTACGAAATTGTTTAGGATTTCAAATATACATCGTACAATTCATGTAAAACGCTTGTGAAAAAGGAGGTGAAAAATTAGGTGAAAAAACAGGTGAGATCTCACCTCTTCACCTAAACATTATTTTTGGTCAAAGCTTCCACGAGAGAAAAGATTCCTCATTCGCTAAGGATTCCAAAAATGAAAAAATCATTGATTTCGGCTGAGAAAAAACAGCAAAACCCTTCTTCCACGGGAACAAAGAAATAAAGAAGAAATAAAGAAGAAATAAAGTAAATTTTTTATTTATTCCCGTGAAAGATAGAGCACTTGTATGACACTTTTTATTCACGACAAACAAACGACAAACAAGACAAACAAAGAAAATAAGAAAATACGGCGCTGTCGCGGTTCGAACCACAGACCCTGACCCCTCCATAACACCACCTTAGACCACTGTGCTACGTAGCCTGTCGACATAAGATTTTATAAATTGCATATTTGACGTAAATTTATTTCCATCTGGCTTCCCACCGCATAAGATATTCATACGTGTTTGTAAGACATTCATTAAACTTCTTTTCTATTGCATCTAATCTTGCGTTATTTTTTTCAATAACTTGTCTGTATTCTTCATCATTGTTAACCAATTTTTTATCTACAAATTTTATTAGTGTTTGATTCACTTCGTTATGATAACGGTCATATTCTTTCAATACGTAAGTGAAGACAAAATGCGTCGTACCTTCAATCTTAAAGCTTAAAGAACTTTCAACACAGTTTGAGGGTCTGTCAGTGCGTCAATGAGATAGTATTCGAAGTCAGTCAATAATCTTTTTAAAGTCATTTCATACAGGATAAAATTTAATGTTGTGAAGAAATAGTGTTTATCTCAGAAAAATAACGCTAATTTTATTTTTATTTATTTTTTTATTTTGTATGTAAAGACAGTAATGTCAACATTAGAGAACACAACAACAATTGCTATCGTTCATGAAGCCATAAATGAAGAATACGAATACATACAGTATAACAAACAATTGAGACTCATTCGTTCAGTCAAAGATGACATGTACCAAATGCAAAGTATAATGAATGCTCTTCGTTCTACAAAGCAAGCATATCATTGGTTTGAAAACCAACAGACAAAAGAACTTTTAGAAGAATTTCCTCATATGATTGCTTCCCTCGGAAAACCGAGAGAAGAGATTCCGTATGAAAATCGCAAGAATTTGGCTCCTGGTTTGAAAGGTTATTATGTTCATAGACTTTTAGTAAATGCTGTAGCAATGTGGGCTTCACCTCGTTATGCTTGTTATATTTTCATGATGTTAGATGAACTATATAAAGCAGAACGTGGAGAGATGGAAAAGAAACTTCAAGCAAAAGATGAAGTCATTGAATCCAAAGACAAAAGCATACAGAAAAGAATACCGCGTTCAGTACCAAAAGGAAAGGAAAAGAGTTATAGGTATATGATATATACCGAAGAGTTGGAGAAAGAAGAAGATAAAGATATGGTTATGTTGCATTTAGTCAGAAGAAACAACAAGAGCTTTTATGACTTAGCTAAAATATATAAATCTGACAGAAACTGGTTCTATCGTGAAAACTTACCGATTTCAATGACACCGAATGAGCAAATAAAGGAAATTGTCAAAAATACTCTTCCTCAAACACACTATGACATCAAAGGTTGCACAATACTTACATTCAAAGAAGACTTAACATTACTGAAGGAAAAAATAACAGAATATTTCGATAACTTCAAAGAGGAAGAATAAAGTCACGACAACATTAACGAAGAAGTCACGACAACATTAACGAAGAGAGAATGAGGTGAAAAAAGAGGTGAAAAAACGGGTGAGATCTCACCTCTTCACCAAAAATATATTTTTGCTTAAATAGCTTCAGGGTCTATTTCTTCAACCATTTCACTTCCTTCGTCAATGTCAATAGAAGCTTCTTCAACCTTTGGTAAGAATTTCTGTATAACATCTTTGTTCGTTATTGTCTTCAGAGATGAAGGATAATATTTCACATTTGTTTCACCCTTCTTATATTCTTTCTGTTCGGAAAGATTTAAAGCAATACTGAAGAAGTCAATATTAGAGTTCTTTATAACAGTATAATGAGTATCTTTGACATTCACGAAGAAACTCTTTTGTTTCAAAACTACTGCTAACTCTTGTGAAGTATAACGTTTGCGGTCAATGACGATAGCTAATGGTCTGACATACTGACCAAACTTAGATTCTTTCACAAACTTCTTGTTAAAGATAACATTAACATTTGAAGCATTATTGAACTCATTCTTGATGGCAGTAGCGAGAGCATTGTATGAAAAGAACTTGCAATCTTGCATGTGTTTCATTAAAATAAAAATATTAAATTATTTTAAAATAACTTAAAAAATCTAAGCTAATTTTTTTTCTAAGAAATTTTTTTATTTCCTACTAAAGATGTATCGGAAGTTGTCTAAGTTAGAACACTCGGAAATAAAACAACTTCTTACAGAAGCTAACATAGATTTGCAAAACATTACGCGACAAACAAAAAAGCACTCGCTGACATCCTCAATGACTATAATGGTGCAATAAGTTATGATAGAATTCATGAGTTCATAAAGCCGCAACGCGGCGAGGACGAAGTCCATGCAAGAGCATTTCCTTTAAATGACGTTGCTATTGACTTATATCATAGACGTTCAGTACCAGGGACTACATGAAGTAAGAAGAAAATGTTTGACATAACAAATGCAAACGTTGGTGAAACAAGAAGAA